TTAAAAAAAAAAAAAAGGCAAGGGAACAATCATGTAAACTACAATCATCAATCTCAAAGTACTCTGGAACCAAAAAAAAGTAACATAGTCAATTCATTAACTTTCATATAAAAGAAAATGACCACCGAGCAAGTTTTAAAATTCCCAAGATCAATACCAAGAAGCCATCTGCCAAGCACTCACCTGGCGCTTCAGTTGAACCCAAGTACCTTTCTCCTTGGCTTCCTTCTTTTTCTGATCATTTTCCTTCACACGCTTCAGGAAGCTGTCTCGGCTCTTTGAGTGCTTAATGTGCTCGATACGTACATTAATTCTCTTAGCAAGAATCTTGCCCCTGGAGAACAGAAATCCCTATAAATGCTCCAGCAAAAATGTAACAAAGTCCAAAAGCACTTCTGCCAATTTCATTTATTAAAAAAAAAGAAAAAACAAACATTAAGGGCACCTGGGTGGCTCAGTCAGTTAAGTGTCCCACTCTTGATTTGAGCTCAGGCCACGATATCCTGATTTGGGAGATCAAACCCCACACTGCGCTCTGTGCTGACAGCGTGGAGCCTGGGATTCCCTCTCTCAGTCCCTCCCCTGCTCTCATGTGCTCTCTCCCCAAAACAAACAAAAAAACCACAATCCATTTAAAATAAATCAACCACGAACCTTTTACCAACAAATAGGATTAAACAGCAAGGTACAGCTAACTTACAATCATTTATTAACCGTACTGGAAGAGGCGTTGAGGCAAACACCCCCCATTTGTAAGCTTTCTTTTAACGAGGTGACAGACCTCACAATACTAAATACGCAAACCAAATCGCTAACTAGATTTACACCGTGTTCCACATCCTTTTATACTCTGAAGATCAGAGTTGCTTAACATCAAGTTCTAATGAACATTTTTCATTAGGTCTAGTTCAATTTGTTTCCTCTGACAGGATACAAGACAAACACCCAGTTTGCTTGAGTTTTGAAAGGATATTTCCTTTGCCCCACTTGAATGACCAATAAAGACATAAGTCCAATTGGCAAAGTGAAACGGGGGTATGAGGGAATACTAATCAGCTGGAAAGAAACCAGACATTACTTACTTAACTTGTTTGTTTACGACAATGCCAACAGCATGCTGGGTAACATTGTAGACTCTTCCAGTTTTGCCGTGGTAACATTTGTGGGGCATTCCTTTTTGAACAGTGCCCATTCCCTGTTAAAAGGAGGTCAAAGTTATGCCAGCAATCTTCCCTTTTTACATCCTGACTCTTATTAAAGTAACTAAGATACTCTTAGAATTTTTCTTTTAAACGGCAACTCCAGAGCTTTCAGAGCCGGTGAAATGGGTTTTTCACATTGCTTTAAGCAATCAAAAAGACAATCATCATTAAGCTCTAGAGTGCCAGGATTCTTTTAAATACCCATCACAAAAGAACGTAACTTTCACCATTTTTTAAAAAACAGCAATCTCCATCTTCATCAACAATTAAATTTTGTACTAACGTATTATTCCTTTCCACCTTAAAAAACCTGATTTTTCCACTACCTGTTAACAAACAAGTAGTAAAGTTTTCAGATTCAAGAATAGCACTTTAAAAACTCTGGTTTCTGGAAGTTAAATTAGCCATTCTACACTTAAGAGCTCTTACTTAGGCCAAAAATGTCCCCCTATTTAGGAGAATAAAAAGCCAGCAGGTCAAATACAATATACACTAGTATCTGAATTTCAGTATTACACTTTTCTAGCTTCTAATGTTGTTCTGTAGGTTATTTACCCAATTTTAGAATTTACCTTGATGTCCACAATATCACCTTTCTTGTAGATTCGCATGTATGTTGCCAAAGGAACAACTCCTGTCCCCCAAAAAATCAGTATAGTTAGTATCAAGATTAAAAAGTCCAGACTACAAAATACACGTAAGCTTACTAGCTTTCAACATACTCTTATCTTTGACAGTTGTATTTTTTTTTTTAATTTTTTTTTCAACGTTTATTTATTTTTGGGACAGAGAGAGACAGAGCATGAACGGGGGAGGGGCAGAGAGAGAGGGAGACACAGAATCGGAAACAGGCTCCAGGCTCCGAGCCATCAGCCCAGAGCCTGACGCAGGGCTCGAACTCCTGGACCGCGAGATCGTGACCTCGCTGAAGTCGGACGCTTAACCGACTGCACCACCCAGGCGCCCCAACAGTTGTATTTTTAAAATCTTGTTGACAAAAAACAACTATATGAAATTTATGCTTTTTATTTACTACAAAGAACAAGTTAGGCAGATGCCGGTTAATTAACACCATTTATTAAAAACACATTATATGAATATATACTATGTTTGCTCTCAAGAAGGAAGTATCTACTTACCATGTTTTCTAAAAGGCCTAGAGAACATATAGCGAGTACCTCTCCTCTTTCCCTTTGTGTTGGTCATTTTGGCGAATTACTGAAAACAGTAAGTATAAAACGTCAAACAAAACCGCAAAATTGGTAATTGTCTTTTTAAACAAAAAACCCCCCCAATCAAACCCCGTAAATTTCAAATGCTTGCTTTACAACAAAAAAATCTAAGTTGACTCACCAATTATTTCCCATAAAGGATAAAACCCCATCATTTTGGCATGTAGGATCTTCACGCAAACCGCCTAAATGCTATTAACATTAAAGCTACGAAGACCTGGATTTTGGAACCCACACCAGTACTTTCCCTGTTAGAACATAAAACACAGAACTTCTACCCCACTTCTGTAGAACCCATCTGAGAATGCCGAAGGCAATGGAATTACTAACTGGACAGTAATTTACTGCTGGAGAGCAAAACAACTCAGCCCTGCATTTTTATGTCGTGGATTAAACCCCTTCTCTTATCGAGGTAATTTTTTGTGACCCTGTATCTCTTACACAGGGTCATGTCTACAAAGCACTCAGCAACTTTTTTTTAACATTTTGAGAGAGAGGGAGCCTGCAGGTGCGAATGGGGGAGGGGCAGAATCTGGAGCAGGCTGCAGGCTCCCAGCTGTCAGCACAGAGCCTGACGTGGGGTCCGAATCCGAACCCTAAGATCACGACCTGAGTCGAAGTTGGACGCCCAACCAACTGAGCCACCCAGGCGCCCCCACCGAGCAACTTCTAGTGTATGTGTCTAATATTAAGTGGTAGTTAATTCATCGTTATCTAAGAATTCACATATAGGCATTTCAAATTGCATCTTTCACTGTTCCCCAAAAGGTTGAAACAATGGCTTTTATGCTTCAGGTCGCTGGAGAGCAGAACTCCCATCGCTGGGAATTACTCCAACCACAAGGCAAAATATATGGAAGTCAGGCTTAACTTGGTAAGACCCTAACATAAATCCCTTAACTTATGAACACTTCTTAAAAGAAAAGGGATTCCAAAGCACCTTCTTCGGGTAACTTGAGACGCAAAGGGACACAATGTTTCACCCGACCCTGCTTGAATCCTCAAATTCTCTACATTTGTACCCAGCGCATACAAAAGTGTGAAGTTCATCATATACACAGGAGACGCTCTGCAGGTCCAAATCACTTCCCCGGGTCACAAAGTGGCAGATTTGATAATGGAAGTAATTTCGGACTCCAGAAATCATTCTTCCACCAGATCCATTTTCCCCAGTAAGAAATCACCCAACACACGCTTTTGAAAATGATACTTGATGTAGGGAATAGTGATGCTTTCTTTAGAGTCACCAAAAGCACCAACCTGCACGCCACCTGCAGTTTGCTCAGCTCAGGTAGCTAAAATTTACAAACTAGACCCCCCCCCCCCCCCCGCCAAAACCTAAGATTAAGTGGTAATTCTCTAACTCCCCCCCCCCCCCAAAGAGTCTACATGAGACACACAACTATTCGGGAATCCTTTCACCGGCTGCCCCAGCCTTAACAAAATACCTGCGGCAACCTGAACGTACTTTCCGTTTGTCCAAATGCGACTTGGGCCTAAAATCTGTAACAACCGGGATAATTTCACAAGCACTAACACCGAGGGGTCTGGGGTTCACATCCTGCGAGGCGACTAAGCGGGCATCCACTCTTTTCTCGGACCACAGGCCCGGGCTTTCACACACACCCCGAGGCCTCCTTGAAGGTTAAAGCTCCTGACTTTAAGCCCGTTTTAACCCGTCCCAAACGACCGTAAGTCCCCACCCAACCCAGTACAAGTTTAGGTTGCACATTAGGGGCCAAAACTCCACACTGAGTTCCAAAGGCCTGCCTGGGCCACGCAGCCCCACAAAGCCTGTCCGAAGGCCCAGAGTACGGAGTCTAAAGCCGCGGGGACCCAAGAAAAACCAACGATTCCCTAAACTGACCCGAGTCACCTCCCCGCTGTATCTCGACTTAGCTTCTCTGGAGCCTCTCCCCCCGCAGGGCCCCGGCCTCGCGGTCCGGTCCTCAGCCCCCCGGCCCAGACCCGGCGCACGCCGCTCCCGGTCTGATTGAACATGGCTCCACCGCCCAGGCCAGTGGGCCCCGAACAGTCTAACCAGTCCTTTTAAGGCCTCAAAGCACGACCGGAGCGGTCACAGGGCCAGGACTCAGGTCTGGGGGGCAAGGGGCACCAGGAGCCACGCGCAGGCCCTACCTGGAAGATGGCGGTTCCGGCCGAAAGGAAGGAGGCGGGGCTGCAGCGCGCGCCTTACAAGGGCCTACGGGCTGCCCGCGGCACTGCCTGAAAGAAACGCCAGCCGAAAGCAACTCTTCCGGGGAAAGGGGTCTTCTCAGAGAACAAGGGGAACCCTTAGAATATTTTTCTTTTTTGTCAAAAAGAGGCAATAGACCTACACAAGCTGACACTTGGATCTTTCCAGACAGCCCGGAAAGGGGCCTTCAAGGACGTCAAACAGGGCGCCGACGTCCTACGCGTGCCTACGTTCGCCTTTACGTTGAGCTTACGCCGGAAGTGGGCGTGTATTGGCGTCTCCGGGCGCCGGGGAGAGGCTGGCCTAACGGAGTTTAAGCCTTTTGCGGGGCTCCTAGCACTCGTATGTTTGTTTGCAGAAATGATTACGTGAGCACAGAGGGCAGATTACAATGAGGAAAGCATATTATCCAGTTTGTGTCTTTCAAAAGTTCTTTTTCCTCTATGAGTCACGGCATAACCACGTTCTTGCTGGTAGGTGCGTAAATGTTACATCCATTTTGGGAAGCACTTTGTCAGAATAAAGTAAAACCTCAAATTTTCAAATACTGTATCCTGGCATTCTGCTTGTAAGTTTGTATCTTACAGAACCTTTGACATGTAGACAAGAATGCGTAACAGCACTGAGTAGAAGCAAAAGATTAGAAACCTCCCCTGGTGAGAACAAATACATGAATGGGATGCTCATATGAGGGAATATTATATGCCAGTAAATCAGTACTAAACCCAGAAATATGAAGCCAGAAGAGGAAGATGTAGAATGTATATAGCATGACAATTTATATACATACGATCTTAAAACATGTAACGCTACCGCATGTTGCTTAGGTATGCTTAGGTATATATGCATATGTATTGGAAGTACTCAAGAAATAAAAGGGGGTAAAAATCGAACTTGGAATTTTTACGTCCAGTAGGAAAAGAACTGGAAAGTAGTACAAGAAAGGGTTTTGAGGGCGCCTGGGTGGCCCAGTTGGTTAAGCATCCGACTTGGCTCAGGTCACGATCTTGTGGTTAGTGGGTTCCAGGCCCCGCGTTGGGCTCTGTGCTGACTGCTCAGAGCCTGGAGCCTGCTTGGGATTCTGTGTCTCCCTCTCTCTGCTCCTCCCCCACTGATAACTCTGTCTGTCTCTCTCAGATTCTGTGTGTGTGTGTGTCTGTCCCTCACCCGCTCACACTCTCTCTCTCTCTCTCAAAAATAAATAAGCATTAAAAAAAAAAAAAAAAAAGGATTCGATAAAGACTGTCTCCTGATTCCTTAAGTTCTTGAGCAAGTGAGCTCAAGGCAAGAAACTACAGACAGAATGTAGAAATTCAAAATTTTGAAGCCTATGCAGTTTTTAAAAATTACAAAGTCCAGATGCATCGGGGTTGTAAGTCAAATTTCAAAGTCAACGGAATAACATTATTTAAATTCAAGCAGGTTAAGATTTTTGTTGCTGAGATTATTTTTTAGAAAAAAAAATCATAAAAATAATACAATCATGAGAAAAGGATCAGACAAATTCTGCTATTGGGACATTCTACAAAATATCTGCCCAGCATTCCTCAAACTGTCAAGCTCGTAAAAAACAAGGGTAGTCTGAAAAACTGCCACGGCATAAGGAGACGTGATAATTACATGTGATGTGGTTTCCTGGATGGGATCCTAACAGAAAAATAATATTAGGTAAAAATTAAGGAAGTCTGAATAAACTATGGCCTTCAGTTAACAACACTGTACAAAATTTGGGACACCTGGTGGCTTGGTTGAGCATCCGACTCTTGATTTTGGCTCAGGTCATGATCCCAGGGTCATGGGATCAAGCCCCATGTTGGGCTCCACACTCAGTGTGGAGCCTGCTTAAGATTCTCTCTCCTTGCCCCTCTCCCCTGCCCACGCTCTGTCTCCCTCTCTGTCTCTCTAAAATAAACCAAAAGCCCTCCCCCCCCGAAACTCAACAATGTACAAAACTGGTCCACTACCTTCACTGTATTATACCCTCCTTTGGTCTCTATATTCTTCTTTATCTAGAAGGGGAGGGAGGGAGAATCCCACGCACTGAGAGTGTGGAGCCACAAGTGGAGCTTGAACTCACCCGATGTGGGACTCAAGCTCATGAACCGGGAGATCATGACCTGAGCCTAAGTCAGATGCTTAACTGACGAGCCACCCCGGTGGCTCATAGAGTGTTTTTTAAATTAAGGTATGTTACATAAAAATCAAGATTTCTGGCTCCTCTTAAATCAGAGGATGTGACAACATAGGATTGGCACTGTTGGTGGCAGCAGTCCAGTGGCCACCCCCTTGAGACTGGATATATATTCTTGAGTTTCATGTCCACTCAGCCTGCTTCAGGTTCACTTGTCTTGGCCCCTGTAGGCATTTGAGCTTTTAGCCTGTGCCACAAATTCATGGTCAACAACTCTCAAGTGGTGCCTAACATCCCCACTGCAGTTCAGTTAATTTACGTACCTACTCTCTGTGAAGATTATTTCATGTTTTTTTTCTTCAGTAGCCAAATCTTCTGTCCCTTTCGAAACTTCACCCTTTTTCAGCTGACAGTTGCTTCATGTTTATCAAGGTACAAACACGCTTCGGTCTTTCCCCTCTCCTTCCGGGCCCTACTTGACCTCATCTTCCCTTCTATGTTCTTCCATCAAGCTCCTTAGAAAAGAATCACGTGAAATTACTGTTTCTGTACATCAGAAACTGTCAGAGTTCGGCAGTGTCCTATGATTTAACCTAATACGTGATCATTACGATCTCTTCCTTACATCCCATTCTGTTTCCAGTTTGATCTGACTTTTGCCCCAATCATGCTCTTCAGACTGCTTCCACGTTGCCAAGACCAAAAGGTAGTCTATGTTCGTGGTTTTCTTAATCTCTGAGAAGCTTTGGCCACTCCCTCCTTGAAACACTACCCTTTCTGACCAATCCACCGCCTGCTTTGCTGGTTTTCTTTTTCTTCCTGTCCTCTAAAAGACTTCTTCAGGATTTGGAACTGGCTCCCTTCTCTTCTCTTTCTACACCCTCTTCTTGGGGAAATCCATGTATACCTACAATTTTAAATTTCGTCTCTATCCTGCTTACTACCACATTTATTTCTTTTAAATTCAAGACTCTTCTCAAAACTATTCAGCCTGACATCTCTTCTTGGATACATTTTGGCATCTCAAAGTTAATGTGTCCAAAATAAAACTTACCTTTCCACCCCCAAACCTGTTTTCAGTGCAATGTTTCCCATGTCAGTAAGTGGCATAAGCCAGAAACCTCAGTTTCATTTTTAAGTTTTCCTCCCCCCCCCCCATATCCCATCCATCAGCATATTTTTTTCCAGTAATACCTGTAAAATATATCTCCGGATGGCCTACCTCCTCCCATCTCCACCACCACCACTGGAATCTCTCCCCCAGACTAGCAATGGCCCCATTAAGGTCACTTTTTTCTCTCTTGCTTCTGCTCTGTCCATTTTCTACATAGCAGCCAGAACGATCTTTTAGAAATGTGAACTCAATTGTGTCATAACCTTGCTTAAAGTCCTCCAAAGGCTATCTGTTGCTCTTAGAATAAAATCTATACTCCTTACCTTGGTTTACAAGGTCCTGTATAAACCAGTTCTGGGATATCTTCTCAGGGTCACTTGGTTTCCCCGCCCCAGCTCATTTGTAGCCTTCTGTGGTTCCCTGACCCGGACCAGGGCTTTCTAGCCTCAGGGGTTTTATGCACACTCTTCCCCTTTGCCTTTCCCATGGCTCATTCTTTCTCATCTTTTTTGCTTCCTAAGCATTAGCATCTGCATAGTTAGGAATTTAGTAAGGTGTTTAAATTGTAGAACAAATCCAGATGCTGTGACCAAAGTATTGGCAATTACTGTGCTTCTATTTTAGGTAACTCTTTAAAAATCTTTTTTAGAGATTTTAAAGATTTTTGTCATAGGAAAATATAATTGGAAGGTGGCAGTTGTTTTTTAGCATAGTTTTTTACGTCACTCATCAGTTGGTCCAGGCTAAGTGTAACCAGAATCATATTACTTTTAGCCTAAGAAAATCATAATTAAGAAGATAAATATAATAGTACAACAATTCCAGAATTAATGTGTTCTTGGTGTGGCCCACCATTTTAGACTTTGTATATTGTTCTTGACTATCTTGAATAATAAATAATTGAACCCCAGTATAATGTACGTATATGTGTGTATACACATATGGACACCTAGGTATATATGTGTGCATACATCAGAGAGAGAGACTGAGAGATTTTTTTAAAATACATACACTAAAATGCACACATCTAAGTGTATACGTGGATGGTTTTTGACTAATTTTTATAACTTTACAACCAGTATTTACGACAAAGGTATAGACCATTGCCATCCCTGTGGAAAATTCCCTGATTATCCTTTCCAGCTAACCCTCCTCCCCACCACAACCATCTGATACCCTGATTTCTGCAATTTCTTTTGTTCAGCTCAGTGTTTTCGAGATTGCATCACGTCATCTGGACCAATAGTGCAATTCCTTTTTCATTACTAAGTAGTATTCCGCCGTGTGAATATACTACAAATTATGTAGGCATTCTTTTCTAGAGGGAAAGTGGGATGTTTGCAATTTTTTGATACTATGAATAAAACTGTCGTCAACATTTTGTGAGTATGTTTTAATGTCTTTGGGGGAAATACCTAGATTTAATGTTGTTTGACCATAAGATGGGTGTATCTCTAACTTCATAAAAAATTGCCAAATGGTTTTTCCAAGTGAACCCCATTTTATTTATTTAGCGTATTCCTCCAAAGAATGTAAGGCATTTATTTCTACTGCAGGCTTTTAAAATCGGTTTGTGTCACTAGCTCTGTCATACACATCTGAAAAACAAAGTGGTTTCCTGAGTCTCTAACAGTCAATTTGTCTCTACTTTGAGATCATTAATGTAAAGAATAAGAAAAGCGTTGAAACTTAAAAAGAAATGTGCAGTAATTGAATGTGGAAAGAAGGAAAAC